GAAATACAGAGCATAATCAGAAACTATTTTTAAAACTTATACTCCAATAAAAGAGAAAATCTTTCAGACACCAACAAATTTCTAGAGACTTTGGACCTACCCAAATTGAACCAGGCGGACACAGAAAATTTAAATAGATCAATTTCAAGCAGTGAAATCGAAGATGTCATCAAAAGCCTACCAACAAAGAAAAGCCAAATTTTATCAGAGCTTCAAAAAAGAACTATCACCTATACTCCTTAAATTATTTCATGAAATAGAAAGGAGGGAACTCTTTCAAACTCATTCTATAAAACTAGTAACACCCTAATACCAAAACCAGACAAATATACATCAAGGAAAGAAAACATCAGGATAATATCCCTGATGAACATAGATGCAAAAATTCTTAATAAAATACTGGTGAACTGCATACAAAAACACATTAAAAGGTTAGTGTACTTTGATCAAGTAGGAATCATTCCAGGGATGCTAGGTTTGTTCAACAGATGGAAATCAATAAATATAATTCATCACATCAATAGATTCAGARATAAGAATCACATGATTATCTTCATAGATTCAGAAAAAGCATTTGACAAAATTCAGCATCTATACATGTTCAAAACACTAGAAAAACTAGAAATTACAAAAACATACCTCAAAAAAGCTATGTACRTTAAATCCAAGCCAGCATCATTCAAAATGGAGAAAAACTGAAAGCATTTCCCCTAAACAGCAGAACAAGACCAGGATAACTTCTTTCCAAACTTGAAAGTAGCCAGAGCAACTAGGCAAAAGAAAGAAATTCAAGGAATGCAAATAGGAAAAGAGCTCAAACTATTCCTATTTGCTGACAAAAAAGATCCTATATTTAGAAGACCCCAAAAATCTCCACCAGAAAACTTCTACAACTCATAAATAAATTCAGCAAAGGGGCAGGATATAAAATTAACACACATAGATCAATTGTGGTCCTATACACCAACAATGAATTAGCAAAAGAGAAATTAGAAAAACTATCCTAATTATTATAGCCTCAAAAAGTATATAATCAATTCCTGAAAATCAATCTAACAAAAGAGGCGAAAGACTTCTACAATGAAAACTATAGAACACTAAGGAAAGAAATTTAGGAATACTATAGAAGATTAAAGGACTTTCCAAGTTCTTGAATGGGCAGAAATAATATTGTCAAAATGACCAAACTACCAAAAGCACTATAAAGATTTAGTGCAATTCTATTAAAATTAGAAAAAGCAGTCATGAAATTCATTTGGCAAAACAAGAGGCCCAGAATAACCAAAGCAGTCCTTTGAAAGAAAAGTGAAGCAAGAGGCATCACAATATTAGACCTTAAATTTACAGAGCATTAGTAACAAAAAAAAGCATGGTATTGGTACCAAAACAGATATGAAGACCAATGGAACAGAATAGAAGACACAGAAACAAATCCACATAAACATAGTTATCTCACATTGGAAAAGAGTGCCAAAAACATGCATTGGAGAAACTATAGCCTTTTCAACAAGTAGTGCTGGAAAAACTAGAAATCTCTATGTAGTACAATGAAATTTAACCCCTATTTCTCACCCTGTACAAAACTCAACTCAAAATGGATCAAAGACCTAGACAGTAGACCATAGACCCTATGCTTACCAGAAGCAAATACAGGCTCAACACTCCATCAAGTTAACTTAGGAACTGAATTCTTCAATAACACTCCTAAAGTGCAAGAAGAAGTAACAAGAATCAATAAATGTGACAGTATCAAACTTCTTGACAGCAAAGGAAATAATCAAGAATGTGAAGAGAGAGCTCACAGAAAGGGAGAAAACATTTTCCAACTGCACCTCAGATAGAGCATTAATTTCAGGGATATATAAAGAACTCCAAAACTTAATATCCCAACACAAATAACCCAATAAATAAATGGGCAAAGAAATTGAACAAACACTACACAGAAGAAAAAATACAAATGGTCAACAATATGACCAAATATATGAAAAAAAATGTTGCAACATCTCTAGCAATTAGAGAAATGCAAATCAATCTCACTCTAGTCAGAATGGCAATCATAAATTATACAAGTAACAGCAAATGCTGGTGAAGATGTGGGGAAAAGAGTATACTCACATATTGCTAGTGGGACTGCAAATTGGTGCAACCACTA